CCAGAGAAGAGGGCAGCACGCATGGCACAGGGCTTACATCTTCTGAAAGTAGCTGAGATCAAGCAGGAACTGGCTGCACGCGGAGTGAAGTTTGCTCGCAGCACGAGAAAAGCAGACTTGGTATCACTTCTCAAGGCTGTTATGCCTATGCCTCGGAGCTCCATGGATACAACCGCAGTAGCTTCCATAGCGGGTGAGTCTGCTATGCCCATGCTTCGGAGCTCCATGGATGCAGCCGCCGAGAAATCCAGAGCTGGTGAGTCTAGGGCTGTGGAGCACACTGCGGAGTTAGCACCTGCTCAAGCAAGAGCGGCTGCCAGGAGCACATCGAAAAAAGGGGAGAAACGCAGGACACGTTGAAATTTATTGGACGCAGCAATCCTGGGCCAGGCAGGGTGTGCACAGCTAATTTGGTGATCTTGTTTGAAGCAGATTTGGAACTGATTTTGTTGCGTTGTACATGCTGGTGTACATTGGTTAATCTTCAAGGTTGTTGAAGGTCAGAGATCAGAACACGCATTTCGGTCACAACCAGCTATACATACACGTATAGGTATATCTGTATTTCTATATGTATATATGTATTTATATATACATATTTAGATTCATCTGTATATAGATTTAGGCATACATATATACTTATATATATATATATACATACACACCAGGTACATGCAACAAGCTACAAATGCCAGACCATAAGAACAGTATGATGCCTTTTTCCTGCTAACACCTATGGTAAGCGTGAGGGGAAGCGATGAGGGGTGGGGCCACCGGGGCCACGTGCAAGAAGCCAGAGGAGAAACCTAGACCACCGTTACCGAGAACCCGTTGGGCGGCCGGGGGGCCGACCTCCGGGGCGGTGGCACGCCCGAGCGCCGTCCTGTATCGGATGACGCTCGGGCGTGCCATGGGGCATGTGCATATTCCTGGAGTCACCGCACATGACGCGCGGGGCCCGCGGCATGGGCGCGGGCCACCGCGCGCGCGGGTCGCCGCGCGCTCGCGCGCAGGGGCCTCCCTTCTGCTCGCAGCCCCTCCGCACGCACTGAGGCCGAAGCCCGGCCCCGCCGCCGCGGCGCGGAGACCGCCTCGCGCCCGCGGGGGCACGAAGCCGGCCGCCTTGCTGCTCTCGCAGCGATCCGAAGCGCGGCCGTGTCGACTGCGGCGGGAGGGCGCTGCGTGGCATGCATCCGCACGCGCTGCGGACGCGCTCGAGCCCAGCCGTGCGGTCTCGGGTCGGGGGCGGGCCGAGCGAGCAGCTGGGTGCAGAGAGGCAGGAGAGCGCGCAGGAGGCGGGCGGTGTGCTCAGACACGTGGGCATGGCACCGAGGGGGTGACGTCGCACCTGGTGTGCGACGGACGCTGCAGTGGAGACCAATGCCAAGAAACACCCTGCTCGCCTCCAGGGTGCCCTGGGTTTCTTGGGCGTCGATGGTCTCGCCATGGAGAGCGTGACGTCCCCACACACCAAAAATCAACGGACGTCCTGGGGTCTCAGGGTTGGGCCTCCTGCCGAAGGCTTCTTGTGGCTGGGCCCCTGCTGCAGGGCAGGCGGGAGCTGAGCCTTTTCGCGGATCGCCGCCCAGGGAAGGCTCTCGGTGGAGCTGGCGGGCCAGCGGCTGGGGCGCGCGGCGCTGGGCGGGCGCGGGGGCCGCCTGCGCACCTGCAGGGTGCGCGGGTGGCCCGCCTGGGACGACGGCGGGCTCCCGAGGGCTGTCGGCAGCAGCAGCGACGCGACGGACTCAGCGCCGACGCTCACCGCCCACCAGACCACCACAACCCAACCCGAAGGCCCCGATTTGCCCTCCATTCCCAGTGGGGGGGAGATGGGAACACTGACAAAAACGCTTGTGAGGCCGTGCCCCCCCCCCCCCCAACCCGAAATTCGGGTCTTCGGGTTGGGTTGGGGTGGTCTGGTAGGTAGTCAGACGCGCCCACAGATCGGCGCCGACGCGCCTGCGGATCTGGCGCCGCTGGCTCCTGGGAGGGGTGCGACGCGTGGTGCGCTTGGAGCACTCTTCCAGAGCCGCACGTGCGCAGCGCTTCCTCGGCCGCACCGCGCGATCGTCGTCGATGCAAGGGCACCGAGGCGACGAGACCAGCTCCCCACCACGAACCACGCAAAAGCCACATCGAGTCCACGAGGAAGGTCCCGACGCGCCAACGGATCAGCGCCTCTCCAGGCCCGCCGACGGATCAGCGCCGACGCGCCAGCGCGCACGCGCGGCATCGGTCGTTTGCCGCCAAAGGTGTGTGTGTGTATGTGTGTGTGTGTGTGGCCTAAGGTCCCTCCAGGAGTTCCAGGGGGGCCCCCGCGGCCTCCAGAGCTCTGGGCCTCCTAAGTGGGGTCGGAGTACATGGGGTCGGAGGATCGCGCCGCATCGCCGATGCATCGGCGAAGCGGCTCGATGCGGAGCCCGATTTGCTTCACGTCGGCGTCGCCGATGCATCGCCCACGTCCACGATGCATCTCCAGTGCATCGCCGATGCATCGCCGATGCACCGCCGATGTATCGGCGACGCGGCGCGATCCTCCCACCCCATCTGCTCCGACCCCATCTAGGAGGCGTCTAAGAGCACCTAACACGACTCTGAGATCCTGGCGTCGCAGCCTCCGAGCCGGGCGACCCTCGCAGATCGATCCGGCTCGGAAGCTGGCGCCGAAAGATGGGATCCAGGGTTTGGTCGTGGTTCTTCACGACGATGTCGGATCTTAGGGTATCTTAGGGTATCTTATGGTATCATAGGGTATTCTTTTCGTGACGTCGGATCTGAGGGTATCACGAGGCCAAGAAGGCCAAGGGGGCTCCCAGATGGTGCGAAAAGCTTGGGACACCTCCCCAGACTCCCGACGTCATGTTTTTTTTTTGTTGTTTTCACATCGTGGACCCTCGGAGGTCTGGACCACTTCCCAGGGACTGGCTTTTCATCCTGGGCAGATGCTTGACGGAGGGTCCGAGGACCCAGCGAGGCCCCCTGGATGCCGAAGATTATACCAACAGCACTCCAGAGGTAGTTCCCAACCATCCTGTGAGCTGGGTCCTCGTCTGGAATTCGCCGCGCGTCTGCCTCCTTCCTTCCCCTCGTCCCCCTCCCTCCAGGCCTCCCCGATGGGGTCGGAGTAGACTGGTTCGGAGGACTGAATGCATCGCCGAGGCATCGGTGATGCGGCCGGATCCTCCGACCCCATCTGCTCGGACCCTACGAAGGAGGCCTCTATTCCCCCTCTCCTCTTCTTCCTCGCTCTACTTCCTCCTTCCGTCTCTGCATATCTTCACTCATTTCAACTACCCGTCGGGAGCTTCACCGAGGTCCCTGGTCCTCATCCTCTCTGTTCCGGCACGCCACTATCACGCGTTTCGTGGCCTCATAAGGGGGCTACACCGAAGGCCCTTGTGGCTGCGTCCGCATGGTGACTCGGCCTCCTCGTGGCACACCCCTCCCACATGTTGTGGCTCCACGGGGATCTCCGCCGAAGGCCCCAGTGGCCGCGTCCGTATGGTGATTCGGGTTCCTTCTGGCATACCCCTTCCGCATGTCGTGGCCCCATAGGGATCTCCACCGAAGGTCCCAGAGGCTGCGTTCGCATGGTGGCTCGGATCCCTTCTGGCACACTCCTCACACGTTTCGTGGCCCCACGAGGAGCTCCACCGAAGGCCCTAGTTGTTGCGTCCGCATCGTGACTCGGGCCCCTTCTGATAACCTTTCCCACGTTTCCTTGCCCGATGGGGAGCTGAGCTCCACCGAAGGCCCCAGTGGCTGCTACCGCATGGTGACTCGGCACCCTTGTGGCACACCCCTCGCGCATTTTGTGGCTCCACGGGGATCTCCACCGAAGGCCCTAGTGGCTGCGTCTGCATGGCGCCATCCCGCCCCATTGCAGCGCATTCTTATCATTCTCGTGGCGCCATGAGGCGCTCCGGCGAAGGCCTAAGTGGCAGGAACCGAATGGTGTCTCGCATTATTTCGGCGCGTGTTTCGTGGCCCCACAGGGGGCTCCACCGAAAGCCCCGGTGACAGGGTCCGCATGGTGACTTCCCCATGTCGGCACACCCCTCACGCTTCGTGGCCCCGTCGGGATCTCCACCGAAGGCCCAAGTGGCTGCGTCCGCATGGTGCGCTCACACGTTTAGTGGCCTTATAGGGAGCTCCACCGACAGTTGCAGTGCCCGTATGTTGGCCCGCCCCATTTCGCCACACCCTTCACACGTTTCGCGGCCCCATCGGGCGCGCTACCGAAGGCCCCAGTGGCTGGGTTCGCATGGCGCCCCGTCCCATTTCGGCACACCCCTCACACGTTTTGTGGGGCTACCGGGCGTATCCTTGTGTATTCAGCGGTCCTGCTTGCAGCCGCCCTGTGCTCAGATAGGGTGGGTGGGGTTCCTCGCCATGCTACTTTTAAAACCATTCTAGCAAGTTTATATACTTTGCCTGAAGGGGGGCGGGGGGGGGCGTGGCGAGGCCCGAAAGGAGATCTGGACTTCGCGCAAGTCGGGACTCGCTTGCACGCCTTTTTCGCTGAGCCACGTTTGAAAAGGCGGCGGTGTGGGGGGGAAACTGCCGGGCATGTAAACTTGCCAGAGTCTACAGAACAGCTCCGGTTTGGATTCTTCCCAAGCGTCCAGTGGTGTTGGGTCCTCGTTTTGTAAAGACAGTCCCCGCGTCTCTTCCTCCTCCTCCTCCTCCTCGCCCCTCCCCCTGCCATTCCTGCCTCAGCCGTCCGCATGTGTCTGTTTCGGCTCACCCCTCACACGCTTCGGAGCTCCACCGAAGGCCCCAGTAACAGGGTTTGCATGCGGTTCCCCGCCCATATCGGCGCGCCCCCTCGCACGGTCCGTGGCCCCCGCAGGGAGCTCCACAGAGAGCGGCACTCACAGCTGTGGCACTCGCGGCTGCACTTGGTTGGGTCCTTCGCCAAGCTCGCTTCACGACTCGCGCGGGCCAGGGGCACCTCCAACAGCCCCGGGCTTCGGCCGCACCCCTGCCGCGCCGCGCAGGCGCCGTGGGCGTGCTGGTCCAGGACCGCGCTTCGCCCGCCGCGGGGCCCAGACGTCCGAGGCGCGTTTTTTTTGTTTTTTTTGTTTGTTTAATTTATTGGTTTTTCTTCTTTTTTGTTCCAGCGCGGGGTCTCTGGAAGTGCCGACCCATTCCCCGGGACCAGGTTTTCATCCCGTGTCTGGGAGCCGTCTGGAGGTCCTGAGGTGGCCCAGCACTGGCTCCGGCCAGCATGAAGGGTGGGCAGGTCCGAGGTTGTGGGTTCGGGAAGTTATTTTTGCTTTTATTTTGGTTGTTGTTGTTGTTGTTGCTGCTGCTGTTGTTGTTGTGCTTGTTGTTGTTGTTGTTGTTGTTGTTGTTGTTGTTGTTGTGCTTGTTGTTGTTGTTGTTGTGGTTGTTGTTGTGGTTGTTGTTGTTGTGGTTGTTATTGTTGCTGCTGTTGTTGTTGTTGATGATGCTGTTGTTGTTGTTGTTGTTGTTGTTGTTGTTGTTGTTGTTGTTGTGATTGTTGTTGTTGTTGTTGTTGCTGCTGTTGTTGTTGTTGTTGTTGTTGTTGTGGTTGTTGTTGTGGTTGTTGTTGTTGTGGTTGTTGTTGTTGTTGTTGCTGTTATTATTGGTTTTGTTGATGTTATTGCTGTTTTGTTGTTGTTGTTGTTGAACATTATTTATTCTAAAGAATAATTATTGTTGGGCCCCCTGGTGCGCGCCCCCCCTGCGCCGCCTAGGCCGCAGCTACATTTTCATCATTTTCGTGAGGAAGCCTCAGAAAAGAGGGTGTGTACAGGATCCGGTTGTTTTGTTGTAATCCGCTTTCCCTTGCAAAAAACAATAGAAAATGACATTTCTTGTTCTAATATAATCAAATTTCAAGAATCCCTTGCAAAAAATAAGGTAAAGTGGACATTCGCGCGCGCAAGACGAAATCCTTCCAAAACCTTAGTGTTCGCAGCGATTTTAACATAAAAACATCAAAAAACCAATGGTTTTTCAACAACAAATTGTCAAAATCTCATCCCGCGCGCTCTTGCGGATTCGTAGGAAACCCAACACTTTTTAAACATTTCTGTCAAACGGGCTTTTGCGAGCAACTTTTTCGAACTTCTGCAACAACGGTTGCGCACCTGCCAGGGCCATCATCCCTGTCAAATAATACCATGCGGGACACATTCGTTTTTTCTTCGCGCGCGCACGCCGTCGTCGTCGGCCGCGGGGCCCTGAATAGTAGCCACGGTCGTCCGCATGCCACGAAGTGAAGTGTCCGAACGTCATAGGGCGGGAAGCTGGGTGTGGGTGGTGGCGAAGAGTCGTTTGGAAATTTGGTAGAGCTTGAACCGGCCCCCCCACAAAGTGGGGGTATTGCCCGCCTCCTATGAAAACCCTGGCACTGGTGAGAACGGAGTGTCCCCACGTGCTAGTAATTGTTGTTGTTGTTGTTGAATATTATTACTTCTAAAGAAATATTATTGTTGAGACCCCTGGTGCGCGACCCCCCTCCAAAACCTAGGCCGCAGCCTCATTTCCTTCATTTTCTAGCGAAAGCTTCAGAAAAGTGGATTGTGTCCGGATCCGGTTGTTTTGTTGTAATCCGTTTTCCCTTGCAAAAAACACTATAAAATGAAAATTCTTGTTCTTACTTGATCAAATTGCAAGAATCCCTTGCAAAAAATAAGGTAAAGTGGACATTCGTGCGCGCAAGACGAAATCCTTCCAAAACCTTAGGTTTCGTAACGATTTTAACATAAAAACATCAAAAACCCAATGGTTTTTTAAGAAAAAATTGTCAAAATGTCCTTCCGCGCGCGCTGTCCGAATCCCACAAAACCAATGGTTTTTCAACATTTATGTTACATGAGCTCGCGCGAGCTACTTTTTCTTGTTCTAACATAATCAAATTTCAATAATCCCTTGCAAAAAATAAGGTAAAGTGGACATTCGCGCGCGCAAGACGAAATCCTTCCAGAACCTTAGGTTTCGTAACGATTTCAACATAAAAACATCAAAAACCCAATGGTTTTTCAAAAAAAAATGTCCAAATTTCATCCCGCGCGCGCTGTCCGACTCCCACAAAACCAATGGTTTTTCAACATTTATGTTACATGAGCTCGCGCGAGCTACTTTTTCTTGTTCTAACATAATCAAATTTCAATACTCCCTTGCAAAAAAAAGTAAAGTGGACATTCGCGCGCGCAAGACCAACAAAAAACACGACGATCTCAGGAACTTGCCCCAAAAATGTGACCAACTCCGCTCTCTCTGTCTCTCTCTCTGTCTGCTCTCTGTCTCTCTCTCTGTCTGTCTGTGTCATGTATTGTATGTCACAATTGCAGGATGCTGGGCACACGCGCGCCCCGAATAAGTGACCAAGTTCTGTGGGTGTGTACCCCACGCCAGTGTAGTAGCCACGGTCGTCCGCACGCCACGAAGTGAAGTGTCCCAACGTCATAGGGCGGGAAGCTGGGTTTGGGTGGTCGCGAAGAGTCGTTTGGATATTTGGTAGAGCTTGAACTGCCCCCCCACGAAGTGGGGGTATTGTCTCGCGTCGCATGAAAACCCTGGCACTGGTGAGAACACTGAGCGTTCGGGTAAAATGATTGTTGTTGTTGTTGTTGTTGTTGTTGTTGTTGTTGTTGTTGTTGTTGTTGTTGAATTCTCATTTCTGAAGAATGATTATTGTTGATCCCCCTCACCAGTGCATACTGTTTTTTCTCAATCAAAGTGTGCCCCTCGACGCTCGCACCGTGTTTTTTGACAGGGAAAGTCTTCCTGCTCAAACTGGCCCCCTGGCCCCCGAGTTTCAACAACAACGGCTCCCGCTTTAGACTTCCTTACAATTTAGGCAGGGTCCCCGCTCCCGCCCGAGACTTCCTTGCATTTTATTCAGGAATCGCGCTCTCGCTTGGGACTTCCTTACGATTTATTCAGGAATCGCTCTCCCGGAGCTCTGGAGTCGCGCTCTCGCTGGAGACTTTGCTTTCGACTTACTGAAGAATAGCCTTGCGTTGGAATTTCCTGCAATTTGCCCAAGCGCCGCGCTCCCGACACCCAGGCATCCAGGAGTCGCGCCCGTTGTGGCCCCATGTGCATGCCCTTCGTGGCCCCGCTGTCGCCATTTGTGTCCCCCTCATTGTCCTACGTGGCCCAGTTGCTACCCTCAGTGGCCCCATAGTTGCTTTCTGTGGCCCCGCATTATCTGCACTTCGTGGCCCCTCGCTCGTTCGCACTCTTCGTGGTCCCATACGCATTCCCTTCGTGTCCCCGCTGCCGCCCTTCGTGGCCTACTTCGTACCCTTCGTGGCCCTACTGTCGTTCTCTCGTCGTCGTCGCTCGCTTTCGCTCGTCGTCGCCGTCGTCGCCGTCGTCTTCGACGTCGTCGTCGTCGTCGTCGTCGTCGTCGTCGTCGTCGTCGTCGTGGTCGGTCCCCTGTCCGTCCCTCTTGGGGTCGGGTCGACGGTCCGCGGCCGCCCCGCCGATCAGCGCTGCCGCTGGCCAGGCCGACGGTCCGCGGCCGCCCCGCCGCTTGCCGGGGCCCGGCCTGCAGGGAAGAAAGGTATACCCCCAAAAGGGGTTCGATCGAAGACGAAGAGGGCGGGTATCGAGGGTTTGGGAAATACGCGTTATTGGACATTCGAGCAGATAAGGGCGAACAGTCCTAAAATGATTGTTGTTGTTGTTGTTGTTGTTGTCGTCGTCGTCGTCGTCGTCGTCGTCGTCGTCGTCGTCGTCGTCGTCGTTGTTGTTGTTGTTGTTGTTGTTGTTGTTGTTGTTGTTGTTGTTGTTGTTGTTGTTGTTGTTGTTGAAGTCTCACTTCTGAATATTTATTGCTGATCCCCCTTCACCGGTGCATAATGTTTTTTCAATCAAAGTGTGCCCCTCGACGCCCGCACCCGGTTTTTTGATAGGGAAAGTCTTCCTGCTCAAACTGGGCCCCTGGCCCCCCGGATTACAATAACAGCGGTTCCCGCTTCAGATTTCATCCCAATTTACTCAGGACCCCCGCTCCTGAGACTTCCTCACAATTTGCTCAAGATCGGTGCTTCTGTTTGTGACTTCCTCGCAATTTAGTCAGGACCCCCGCTCCCATCTGAGGCCCCCTCACAATTTGCTCAGGAACGGCGCTCCCGCTTGAAACTTCCTCGCAATTGAGTCAAGACTTCCTCGCAATTTACTCAAGACCCCCGCTCCCGCCAGAGACCCCGTTACATTTTATTCAGGACTTGCGCTCTCGCCTGTGACTTCCATGCAATTTATTCAGAAATCGCGCTTTCGACGCCCAGGAAACATGCTGCGCCAAGGACGCCGCTACAATTCACTTAGTATCGCGCTCTCGCCATACACAGGCATCCCGCTTGAATGTCCCACCCGCCCGACCCGCCCGTCAGGGGATCGCCCGCCCATCGTGGTCTCCCGCCCGAGATTTCCTTCAGGAACGGCGCTTTCGCCTAGGACTTCCTCGAACGTTCGCGCTTTTACCTTCCTGCTCCTCCTCCCTCTCCCTCCTCCCTCCTCCCTCCTCTCCTCCCTTCTCTCTCCCTCCCCTCTTCCCTCATCCTTATGGCTCTCTGCCCTATCCCCTCTTTCCTCCCTCCTCCCCTATCCCTCCCCTCTCCTGCCTCCTCCCTCCTTTTTTGTTGTTGTTTCTTCTCTCTCTCTCTCTCTTTCTCTGTCTCTCTCCCCTCTCTCTCTCTCTCTCTTTCTTTCTCTACCTCTCTTATATGCCTGTCTCTCTCTCTCTCTGTCTCTCTCTGCTTCTAATCAAGCGCCCCCCTCTTCGCTCCTTCTCTCCTGGCGTTTTCCCTCTTCCTTCGTCCCTCCCCCTCCCTTCCTCCCACTCTCCCTCGTTCTCCCCCTCCTTTTTTTTTGCAGGGCCCACACCAATTCCAATGGCGGGCACATGTACACCCACGAAGGATTGTCCGCCCGTTCAGGTTTGCCCGCCTGTCTAAGCCCGCCGCCCTCCGCAAAGAGAAAGAATCCCCCCAAAGGGGGTGTGATCAAAGTCAAAAACGGCGGGTATCGAGGGCGTGGGGAACTCGTTGGAATGACACACGGGCAAGTAATAACGAACAGTCTTATAATGATAGTTGTTGTTGTTGTTGCTATTGCTGCGGCTGCTGCTGCTGCTGTTGTTGTTGCTGCTGCTGCTGCTCCTGCTGCGGCTGCTGCTGTTGTTGTTGCTGTTGTTGTTGTTGTTGTTGCTGATGTTGTTGTTGTTGCTGCTGCTGTTGTTGTTGCTGCTGCTGCTGAGGTTGTTGTTGCTGTTGTTGTTGCTGCTGTTGTTGTTGTCGTTGTCGTCGTCGTTGCCGTTGCCGTTGCCGTTGTTGCCGTTGTTGTTGTTGTTGCTGCTGCTGCTGTTGTTGTTGTTGTTGTTGTTGTTGTTGTTGTTGTTGTTGTGGTTGTTGTTGTTGTTGTTGTTGTTGTTGTTGAACATTATTAATTCTAAAGAATAATTATTGTTGGGCCCCCTGGTGCGCGCCCCCCCCGCCGCGCCTAGGCCGCAGCCACGTTTTCATCATTTTCGTGAGGAAGCCTCAGGTAATTCGAGTTGATCAAGATCCGGTTGTTTTGTTGTAATCCGCTTTCCCTTGCAAAAAACACTATAAAATGAAATTTCTTGTTCAAATATAATCAAATTTCAAGAATCCCTTGCAAAAAATAAGGTAAAGTGGACATTCGCGCGCGCAAGACGAAATCCTTCCAAAAGCTTAGTGTTCGGAGCGATTTTAACATAAAAACATCAAAAAACCAATGGTTTTTCAACAAAAAAATGTCAAAATCTCATCCCGCGCGCTCTTGCGGATTCGTAGGAAACCCAACACTTTTTAAACATTTCTGTCAAACGGGCTTTTGCGAGCAACTTTTTCGAACTTCTGCGACAACGGTTGCGCACCTGCCAGGGCCATCATCCCTGTCAAATAATACCATGCGGGACACATTCGTTTTTTCTTCGCGCGCGCACGCCGAAATCTCCAAAAACCATTGGGTTCTGTGGGTGTGTACCCCACGCCAGTGTAGTAGCCACGGTCGTCCGCACGCCACGAAGTGAAGTGTCCCAACGTCATAGGGCGGGAAGCTGGGTTTGGGTGGTCGCGAAGAGTCGTTTGGATATTTGGTAGAGCTTGTAATGCCCCCCCACGAAGTGGGGGTATTGCCTGGTGTCGTATGAAAACCCTGGCACTGGGGAGAACACCACGCGTTCGGGTAAAATGATTGTTGCTGTTGTTGTTGTTGTTGTTGTTGTTGTTGTTGCTGCTGCTGCTGCTGCTGTTGTTGTTGTTGTTGCTGTTGTTGTTGTTGTTGTTGTTGAATTCCCACTGCTGAATCGTATTTATTGTTGATTTACCCTCACAGGTGCATATTGTATGTTCTCAGTCAAAGTGTGCCCCTCGACGCTCGCACCTTGTTTTTTACACGGAAAGTTTTCCTGGTCAAACTATGCCCCGGGCCCCCTGGACTACAGCAGCAACGGCTCCCGCCTGAGATTCCTTCCAATTTTTTATTCAGGACCCCCTCCTCCCGTCTGAGACTTCCTCCCATTAAATCAGAAGCTGCGCTCCCGCTTGATATTCCATTACATTTTAGTCTGGGTCAAACTGCGTCGTTGCTCTCCCAGACTACAACAACAACGGCTCCTGCCTGAGACTTTTTGTCTTTTCCCTTTCGTTTCCCTGTTTAGGAGCTTCTCCAATTACACGTGGCCAGGAAGGAGTACAACCGCCCAAAAAGGGGTACGATCGAAGACGGAGAGGGCGGGTATCCAGGGTTTGGGATATGCATAATGAATGGCACGCGGGCTGGTAGGAGCGGACAGTCTTGGAATGATTGTTATTGTTGCTGTTGTTGCTGTTGCTGTTGCTGCTGCTGCTGCTGCTGTTGTTGTTGTTGTTGTTGTAGTTGTAGTTGTAGTTGTAGTTGTTGTAGTTGTTGTTGTTGTTGTTGTTGTTGTTGTTGTTGTTGTGGTTGTTGTTGTTGTTGTTGTTGTTGTTGTTGTTGTTGTTGTTGTTGTTTCCGCCTCCAGGAGTCGTTTTCGGGCCCTGGCACAGTGAAAAACTGTTTCGGGGTGAAAGACTGCACCGGATGGAACCCAGGAGGGCGTCATCCCTCTGTGCGGCCCTCGCTCTTGACAGTCTGCTTTCGACACCCGTCTGGCCCGCCCCATCGAGAGTGGCTGCGGGTTGTCGGCGCCAGTTCGCTTCTCTTCAGTTGAGATCCTATCCCACGGGATCACCAGTGCGCAGGGCATATGTAGTTTCGGAGTCGAAGCTGTGTGCGCCGTTTTGGCTTCCCTTTTGCAGGAATCCCGCCTCAGGACTGTCATCGATGCCACTTCGAGAAGCGCGCGCGCCCCCCCTCTCGCCCCCCCCCCCTCCCCCGGGTAAGGACCGTCTTTAGGCCTCACCCGTGAGGACCGCCAATAGGCCTCACATCCAGCGCAGCTTCCCTCATCGGGGTTGCGTGGGTTCCCCCCCCCCCACACCCCTTTCATCACGGCGTCAAAAGCCACAGGAGGGAGCTGAGGACTCCTCTAGGGACCCTCGGCCAACGAATACAGTCGACCCGCATAGAAAGAATGGACAACCTTCCCATGGGTACCCCCTTGCATCCTTCCTCCTCGGTCCATCCTTTGCCACCTGTGTTGGCCGCGCCCCGTTCGAAAATGGTAGAAGCGGACGTCCCAGGCCTTTGCATCCTCATCGCGCAGTCTGATGATACGGGCAGACGGTACCTCCACACTTCTACAATTCTCCATGATGGCGCCCACGCGGCTTTCCGTCCGACTGATTTTCTGGGGTCCCAGCCGGCTCGGACCCCCCGGCCGCCTCCACGAGTCGCTCCCTGACGGTCCCGCTGGGGGCCGGGCGAGGGCCTTCGGAGGCCGCAGGCGAAGAGAAGTGTCCTCCTTGTCCTCCTCCTCCTCCTCCTGCTGGTGCTGGTGGTGCTGCTGCTGCGCTCCTCCTCCTCCTCCTCCTCCTCCTCCTCCTCCTCCTCCTCCTCTTCCTCCTCCTCCTCCTCCTCCTCCTCCGTCCTCCGTCCTCCCTCCTCCCTCCTCCCTCCTCCCTCCTCCCTCCTCCCCCTTCCGGAGGAGGAAGGAAGGCACAGAAGGCCAGAGCGCCTGTGAGAAGCCCCGCCGCCTTCTGAGAAGGCCTCCTCTCTCCCCCCCCCCTCAGAAGGCCAGAGGGCCTCTGAGCTGCCCCGCCGCCTCTTCCCTTCCCCCTCCCCCCTTCCCTGGCTCGCCGCCGATCCTGCTCTTCGAGAGGTCGGCGCGTCGGGCGATCTGCGGGGGGGGGCGGCGGGGCGGCGTCTCCCCGGGCGCGCCCAGCGCGTGGCGGGGTCGCAAGGCCCTCGGGGCCGTGACAGAGACAGTTCGGGACGGCCGACCGGCCCCTTGGAAAGGGTCGGCATTTCGGAGACAACGTATTCTGGATCGCTGAGTATTCGCCCCCCCCCTTGGAGTGCCCGGGGGAATTGGCCGCGGCGCGTCCGCGGGGGTGCAAGGGGGGGTCCGGGGTTCGTTCCCTTCCCGGCTGGGGCGCGGGGGTGGTGCCGAGGGGGAGTTGGCCGCGCCGCGTTTTCACGTTTGTCACCCCCCGGTGGATTAATGAGAAGTTCGGAGTATATGTCGGATGCCGGGGTCCACAGACACCCCGCGCGTCGATCCGTTCGATGCGTGCTCCCCACCTCCCCCTCCCCCCCACGTCGGTTCGTTCTGGCCAGGATTTTTCGGTGGTCGGACGACGAGGACGCTCTCCAGGACGCCGAGAAACGCCCGAAACTTTGATCAACGACCCTCGATCCCCCCTGGACCCTCGACCCTCGACGACCCTCCATCCTTGAACCTCGACCCTCGGCACTTGAACTCCGGTCCCTCGACTCTGGGCCCCTCGATCCTCGACCCTCGAGCCCTGATCCTCCCATCCTCGACCCTCGAGCCCTGATCCCAGCATCCTCGACCCTCGAGCCCCGATCCTCCCATCTTCGACCCTCGAGCCCCGATCCTGCTATCCTCGACCCTCGAGCCCCGATCCTCACATCCTCGACCCTCGAGCCCCGATCCTCCCATCCTCGACCCTCGAGCCCCGATCCTGCTATCCTGGACCCTCGAACCCCGACCCCTCGAACCACGAGACCGACGACGACGACGACGAGGGCGGCGACGAGGGCGAGGCCAGAGGCGCCTCCCTTCGACTGGCCGGCCCGCCGCAAGGACGGCCTGGTCGGCAACGGCCGCGACAGTGAGGCCGTCCGTCCGTGTGCCGCCGGGGAAGGGGGGGATGGAGAGAGGGAGGAGGAGGGAGGGGGAGGACGAGGTGGAGGAAAAGGAGGAGGAGGAGGAGGCAGGGAGGAAGGGAGGGAGGGAGGAGGGAGGGAGGGAGGAAGGGACGTGGGGGAGGAGGAGGGGGAGGAGGGTGGAGAAGGGGGAGGGGGAGGAGGGGGGGGCCAGGAGGGAGGTGATGAGATGAGACCGCGAAGTGATTTGTCAAACATACTGCCCCTGAGCTTGCCGAGGGACGAGACGATGAGGGAGCACACCACGACGACAGTGTAGCCCGGCGGAAAGCGCAATGAACGAGAGCGACCAGCAGCACGATGCGGCACTCCACGAATGGGTGCAAGACCCAACGGTCTTTTTCTCTCAGCCACGCTTCGAAGTACGCCCAACCTGCTGGGAAGTGGGTTTCGATGGGCACAGAGGCCCGCGGAACCTCTTCCACCAGCAGGCTGGGAAGGACCGTGCCGTTGAAGACTGAGAAGGACAATTCCCAACCTGAGCAGGAGGAGGAGGAGGAGGAGGAGGAGGAGGCGGAGGAGTACGAGGATGAGTAGGAGGAGGAGAGGGAGGAGGAGGAAGAGGAGGAGGAGGAGGAGGAGAAGGAGGGAGAAGGAATAAAGTGGAGGAAAAGGAGGAGGAGGAGGCGGAGGAGGAGGAGGAGGGAGGAGGGAGGAGGAGGGAGGAGGACGATGTCGGAGCAGGAGGAGGGGGGCAGGAGGGGGAGGATGAGCAGGCGTAGTAGTAGTAGTAGTAGTAGTAGTAGTAGTAGTAGTAGTAGTAGTAGTAGTAGTAGTAGTAATACTAGTTGTAGTAGTAGTAGTAGTAGTAGTAGTAGTAGTAGTAGTAGTATAGTAGTAGTCGTAGTCGTAAGTCGTAGTCGTAGTCGAGTAGTAGTAGTGGTGGTATTAGTAGTAGTAGTAGTAGTGTAGTTAAACTAGTACTAGTACTCAGTAGTAGTAGTAGTCGTCGTAAGTAGTAGGAGTTAGTATGTGGTTCAACTCAGGCCAGGTGCCCCCGTAGTAGTCGGCGTAAAGTGTCTCTACAGCGACAGCGCGGTAGTAATAGTATATAGTAGTAGTAGTAGTAGTAGTGGTAGTAGTAGGGGTAGTAGTAGTATGTAGTAGTAAGTAGGAAGTAGGTAGTAGGTAGTAGGTAGTAGTAGTAGTAGTAGTAGTAGTAGTAGTAGTAGTAGTAGTAGTAGTAGTAGTAGTAGTAGTAGTAGTAGTAGTAGCAGAAGCAGCAGCAGCAGCAGTAGTAGTAGTAGTAGTAGTAGTAGTAGTAGTAGTAGTAGTAGTAGTAGTAGTAGTAGTATAAGTAGTAGTAGTAGTAGTAGTAGTAGTAGTAGTAGTAGTATGTAGTAGTAGTAGTAGTAGTAGTAGTAGTAGTAGTAGTAGTAGTAGTAGTAGTAGTAGTAGTAGTAGTAGTAGTAGTAGTAGTAGTAGTAGTAGTAGTAGTAGTAGTAGTAGTAGTAGTAGTAGTAGTAGTAGTAGTAGCAGTATTAGTAGTAGTCGTAGTCGTAGTCGTAATCGTATTCGTAGAAGGAGGAGGATGAGGAGGTGGAGGAGACGACCAACAAGAAGAGGAACATGTGGACGATGATACTATGATTGTGAAGTTTTGTTTTGGGGATTTGTACATTGCTGCTGATGAGTAAGGACACCTGTTGCTCCATCTTCTCCCCTCCACCTCTCCCCTCCCCTTCCTCTCCTTTTCTCCTACTAGGATTCTGTGGCGTCCAGAGGCCTTTGGAGTACGTCGGTCGTCGCCGTCGCCGCTATCGCCTTCGTCATTCTCCCTGAGCAGCACCGTCCCCCCCCTCCCCTCCCCCTCCCAAAACAACGGATGTTTTGCTTGCATGCTTGCCTCTCAACACGCCCCCCCCCCAGAATTCTCGACCCCTTCGCCCCTGGGGCCCACTTCGCGTCCCGTTGGCCGCCCCTGGACGGCCTGGGGCCCGGCGCGGGCCCCCCAGGGACCGAGAGCACGGCAGCTGCAACTGGAAGGGCTCTTTCAACACCTGTTGGGGGGGGGGGGGGTCTGGGCCGTCCCACCCCTTTGCTTCCTCAGGAGGAGGGGGAAGAGGCGGAGGAGGAGGAGGAGGAGGAGGAGGGGGAAGAGGAGGAGGAGGGAAGAGGAGGAGGAGGAGCAGGAGGAGGAGGAGGAGGAGGAGGAGGAGGAGGAGGAGGGACGGCGGAGACGACGACCGACGGAGACGACGACTGGCATGGCTGTTCCAACACCTTCGGGGGGCTCTGGGCCTCCCCCCCTTCCCCCTGTACGGTAGGGGCGTTGGCTTATGGTGTCCCAGCCTACTTTAACCTCGGCCGCTAGAAAGAATTTCAAGCATCAAGAGAGAATCGAGACTGGACGGTTCTCGCGTGTCGGGCCCCGGGAGGCGCGATATTCGTTCGGCACTTCGCTGGCGTGTCGGGCACACACTGTTTCGATACTTTTCGGGGTGTTTGAAATTATTTATGGGATGTGATCTGTAAGTACGATGGGAACAAACAAGCGTTGGCTAAGGAATGTGCCCAGGAGCACTGGCAGGCTTGAGGAGGAGGGTGCAGGGACAGGGGGCGACGGAGAAGACGACCGACGGAGACGACAACTCGAACAGACAAGCCCCTCACGCACGCCGACAGGGTCGGCGGATTCCTTACCTGATGAGGGCGGCGGTGATATCCATGGCCACTCCACGATGGGAGCTTCACCGGCCTCTAGGCCCTGGGCTCCTTACCCGAAGGTTCCTTATCCAATGCCCTCACCGTATCGTTCAGCCGACCCCCAGCCTCATCCGCATCCCCACCCAGACCCTCACTATCCTTGAGGACAGCATAACTCACTCCCACCCCCCGCTAGGGCCCCCGCTCCCGACCTGGTGATGCAGGGAGTCATGGCTCGGGAGGGGGGTGGCTTTCTGGGTCTCTTGGGGGCCAACACAAAAAATCGGGAGTGGGGGCCCTGGCTGGAGGAAGGGGGTGGGTGGTGCTGTCCTCAATCTCAGCACCCCAGTTGTCACCGAGCGCGTTCCACTACCCGCAAACTGCCTGCTCGCAAACGTCCGAAAAACACACGTCTATCGTAGATCCCCCGCGGGGGATCCGGGCCATTTGCGAGCAGTTACTTTTTGCGAATAGTGGAATGCGCTCGTCTAAGCTGGGGATACACCCCTCGAGAACCACAGGACATCTCATCCAGGAGGGGCACATCGGGGCACCCTCGAGCCCCCAGCTGGGGCTGTACCTCGAGAGCCATCGCGTGCCCAGCTGGGGCTGCATCCCCATCTGGGGGGCCGCATCGGCCAGTGGTCGGCGTCACCCCAACATTCTCATACTATATGTGCGTCGCCCCCCCCCCCAGGGGCGACGCGCGCACCGAGGAATCTTGTAGCATATGCGCCGTGGCGGGCGCCTTCTGGCCACGCCGCCCGGGAAACGAGCTACTACAAGATGGGTATGCCACATGTTCGGTTCGGACGCACGCCTCCAAGGAGGACACACAGCACCAGTCTGTTCCTGTGTGCCTCCCACGTGGGGCCCGGGCCACGCCCACGGGGACAGGGGCCAGTCGAACGGTGCTCATCCCCCGCCCCCGACGCAGCACGAGAGCCGGCCAGGGGCGGCATGGCACCGACCGGCATCGGACTCCCTGCCCGCACGCTGCAGTCGGGGCAGCGAGAGGGGGGGGGGACAGGCACAGGGTTGTGGAAGTCGATTAATGGAGAGGAAGCATGCTGCCAAATAATTTCCAGATGTCTAACGGATGTTTCAAACATGTTTTAGATATGTAAAAAACATGTTCAACACATTTTTAGAACATGTTTTATACATTTTAAACACATCTTTAATTCAATGATCGGATTGTTAGAGTGTCCATTGTCATGGCATCCACAAGCACAAGGGGGGGGATGCATCGACCCCCCATCGCCCATGGATCGCCGATAGGGGCCGCCGATAGCCCCAACCTGTCCAGGAAGGTGCGGATTCAATATCGGAAGCCTATCGCAGATCTGTCGGCGATGTATCGCCGATTCCAGGTCGATGCATCCCCCCCCTATTGCCAGTCCCCCCCTATTGTTGCCCCTCATGCAGGCGGCCATGTGGGCGCTGGGTCACCTGGGCGGCATGAGCGCCGTTCTCGAGGTCATGGCGCGGGAGACCCGCGGCCCTCGAGGGGAGGGGGAGGAGGTCGCCGTGGGGGAAACGGGTCCTGAGGGAAACGGGTCCTTCTGTTTTTGGACGTCTTCGGGCTCTGGGGTTTCACCACGGGCCCTGGGACCGTCAGAAGCCAGAAAACGGATTCAGGATGAAGATCTCGTCCTGGGGGAAGGCCCCAGGGTCCAGGACCCGTTTCCCTCAGGATCCGTTTCCCCCATGCTCAGGGAGGATGAGCTGGAAGGAAGGAGGAGGGGCTGGAGGAGCCCTCTGAGTAGCTCGTCACTGTCGCACCACCAGGCGGGGCGTTTAACGCCCCTAATAGGGCTGGCCGGGCATTTCGCCTGCGACTTTCTCACCGCCTACGTTCTTGAAGCTTGAACCTTCAACAGTTGCACGGATTGAGGGCGAATAGTTTTTAAACATTGATTCTCGTCGTGGCGCCGCGCACAGTCGTTAAAAGCTCCAGCCAACAGTTACACGGATGGATGGCAGATCGTTTTCGAATCTGGGCTCTCGACCTGACGCCGAGCGAATTTATTTGATATCAGCTGCGATCCAACGACGACACGGACGGAGGGCGTGCCCTTGTTCAAATGAGGTTCTTGCTTTGGCGCCGCGCTTTTTGGTCTGCGGGTCGGGATCGGGCCCCTTTCTGTCAAGAGCTAAACGGGACGCGGGTAGCCCTAATTGGGGAGACAGGGCGCGGGCGGGCGGGGCCTCGATTTTTTTTTTTTGGGGGGGGGCGCCGCGCACGCTGGTCTTAAGCATCGCCAACATCTGCACAGGTGGAAGCTAGCTCCTTCTCACAGTCGGGCTCTCTCTCTTCAGACTTCGGTGGGTTCTGCGACGACCAGGCGTCCAAGCGTTGCGCAGCAGCTGCACGGATGGGGGGCAGGTTGGGCGGCTGCTTCTCTCCTCGACCTTGTTCTGCATGCCGCGCCCTCCCCGCCCCCGGTCAGACTCCATCGCCCGGGGCCGCGTTCAGTGTACAATCGCAGGCCTAGAGGTTGACACCAACACCAATATCGGCGGTGTGCCTCCTCCGATGGACGAAGATCCCGATCTCGGCGACGGTGGTAATATTCTGGCTTCCAAGGTGGCCGAAAGATTACCACCAACACCGAAGTCTAGGATCATCTCCCCCCCTGTGGAGGCAGCCCCCTGTCTTGGTGTTGGTGCCCATTTCCAGGCCTCCCATACAACATGTGCCGCAGGGAGGGAGTTGTTGTAGACATCGAACTCACGACCAAGACCCCCGTCCATCCTCCCCCCCAGGGCTTCCCTGTGTACGGTATGCCAAGTTCTGGGGCTGATGCTCAACGCGGGGGCTACCGTGAAGTCGGGCTTGTTCTTCTACAGGAGGAATGCTCAAACATAGTAAAACGAAGTCCGTGGACGAAATTCTGAGTATTCTTGGGCATTTGTGTTGTATTTTTGAGTCTTTTAGGGTTTCTCGTCCAAGATGCCCCTGTAGGAGGACTTGCCCCACCCATGGCTGCCGCTGGGCACATACTTGAACTAAAGACCCCACGCTCGTCGCTCGTCGCTCGTCGCTCGTCTCCGAGGGAGGCCTTCGGTCGCTCGATCCTGGACGCATTCCTTCCGTCGCTCGAGGGGAGGGGGGCCCCGTCTCGTTCCACCCCGCTCTCCCGCCCGAGCAGAGAAGGGCCCACGGGGCGCGCTCGCCTTCGAGGGTGGCCTTCGGCGCGGCGGTAAAGAATGCCTGTAGGGACTACATGAGCAGGCGGAGGAGGAGGAGCAGGAGGAGGAGGAGGAGGAGGAGGAGGAGGAGGAGGAGGAGGAGGAGGAGGGAGGAGGAGGAGGGAGGAGGAGGAGGAGGAGGAGGAGGAGGAGGAGGAGGAGGAGGGACGGCGGAGACGACGACCGACGGAGACGACGACTGGCATGGCTCTTCCAAAACACCTTTGGGGGGGTCTGGGCCTCCCATCCTTCTTCAGTACGGCAGGGGCGTTGGCCAATGATGTCCCAGCCTACTTCAACCTTGACCGCTAGACAGAATTTCGAGCACCAAGAGAGGATTGAGACTGGACGGGTCTCGCGCGTCGGGCCCCAGGAGGCGCGATACTCGTTCGGCACTGCACCGGAGTGTCGGGTAGTCAATGTTTCGATCTTTTCGGGATGTTGGCATTTATTTCTGGGAGGTGGTCCTGAAGTACGATGGGAGCAACATGAGCGTTAGCCAAGTAATGTGCCCATGGGGCCCAAGATCAACCAACAAGTAAACGACACCACCCCACCTACGTCCCTCCATGTTGCGCTACGGCCCATCGGGGGCCGTAGCGTGTGCCACGCAAAAAGCACCCACGCCGGATCTCCCGGTCTACGCTACGCCCCCTGGGACCGTAGGTGGGGTGGTGTCCTTTGTTTTCTGGTCCGGCGCATGCACAAAGCGAGCCAATGGGATGCTTGTCTTCAAGGGTGGCGCTTGGCGCAGTGGTAAAGAATGCCTGTAGGGACTAACGAGGAGGGGACTTGGGACGGGAGGGAGTGTTGCAGCATGATTGGCACTTTTTTCGTTTTCTGTGGTCTTCTGGAGGGAGCGCGACCCAGAAGAGGGCCGTCCTTTCCGGGGGCCATGGATCGAGGACCCGCGGTTTCTTGACGCCCAGGGCCTCCTTTGAGCCTCTGGGGCGCCCTCATGGCCACGGCGATGCATCGCCGATGGACGGCACCAAGAGCGCCCAAGAGGGCCCCAAGACGGCTCCACGGAAACGGCTCGGTCGGAGCCATTTGCGGCCTGCACTAGAACAGAGCCCTACGCGCCGCCGCGCTGGTCCCGGGCAGGCCGTGCTGCCCAGCGAACGGGGGAAGAGGAGGGGAGAAACAGGCAGACGACGACGAACGCGCAAACGGGAGGCCAGGGCAGGCGGCGCGGGCGGGCAGGCGCAAGAGGGGCCAGGTGGAGACAGCAGGCAAGGAACAGGAGGAAAGGGAGGGAGTCAAGGAAGAAAAGGAGAGGAGAAGCAACCGCAAGCAGACAGGCCATGCCAGGGGCCGGGAGGAAAAGGGCCACCCGCGACGAGGCTGCGGACCGTATGGCAGTGACACCGACAAGGCGGCGCAGGCGTATCGGTGGAGTGGGCGGTGGTCTTCTGGAGACCCAGGGACCACCAGGGCCGATGGACCTCTGGAGCCTCTGTGGGCCCTGGCCGGTTCCGTTTAGAGGTTTGTTGGTGTTTCCGTCGTTTTTTTTTGTTTTGGATCTGGGTCTAGCTCCAATCCTGGAGCCGTTGTTCTTCCCCGTTTTCGAAAACAGCTTGGGGCCACACATTTTTCATTCCAGATTTGTCATTTCATGTAAATATATTCATTTGAATCTGCACATACGTATGTCTGTATGCATGCAGGTATATATGTATGTATGTCTGCATGTATGTATGTATGAATGCCTGTATGTATGGCTTATGTATGTATGCATGCATGTATGTATGTATGTATGTATGTATTCATGCATTCATGTATGTATGTATGTATGTATGTATGTATGTATGTATGTATGTATGTATGTATGCATGTATGCATGCATATATGTATGTATGTATGTATGTATGTATGTATGTATGTATGTATGTATGTATGTATGTATGTATGTATATATGTATGTCTGTATGTATGTGTATGTGTGTATTTCCAGAAATATGTTCAATCTCGGGAGGGATGGGTTCGATGTAACGATTTCGCGTGGGTCCAATGGCTCAAGACATACTCAGAGTTGGTCGACATATGGGTACGTATGCACCCACCACGCATGACAGGAAACGGCTCGCGACAGTACTTCGCCAACGATCACAAACAGGATTTCTTCCTCTTCCCCCTCCTCTCGCATTCGCTGTTTATTTCCAGCCTTCCCTTTGGGTGGGTTTTCGTTTGAATAGACCAGAGTGGTCTCCATGCTCCCACTACTCCTACTCTTCCCCCTCCTCCTGCTTCGTGTCTCTTGCCTCCTCGCCTCCTTTCCTCTCGCCTTTCCTACATGGGGGGTGCGAACTGTGCAACCGTCGCGACTTTCGTGGGCCCCTGGGTGGTCCAACGGAGGCGTTAGTCAGGCGAGGCCTCGCGGCTCCCTGGGGGTTGCCAACTGCGCAGGTGTCGCCACTTTCGTGGCCCTTGTGGGGTCCAGTGGAGGGTCATTCGGCGAGCCTTCGCGCCTCCCTTGGAGGCTGCCACCTGCGCATCGGTCGTCACTTTCGTGGGTTTTTGAGGTGTCCAGCGGAGAAGACTGTCACGCAGATCCAGGCGAGTCATCGAGGCATTCTGGGGACTGCCAGTTGCGCAACGGTTGCCATTGGCGTGGGCTCTCTGGGGCGTAACGTAGCGCGTGGCGCTGTCGTCAATGTCCCGCCCCCCCCCTTCTTCATGTGCGGGTCGCCAGCAGCCGCAGCAGGGGCGAACGGAGCAGATGTGGCGCATGGCGCTTGTACTATCACCCGCACTTATTTATTCTTGTTCTTCTCCAGATTCCTTGTCATCCTCCCCCCCGTCCTCCTCCTCCTCCTCCTCCGTCTCTGTTCTTTGTTCAATTGTCCTTGCCGCGCTTGTCGTCGCAGTCCCCTTGCGCTTGGAGTGATGGAGGTCTGCGACTCGCCTTCCCCGAAATTGTTTGGCGAATCTTTTCCGAATGCTGCATCTCTCGCGACGTTTTTTTTGTTTTTGTTTCTGCTTTCGTTGCGAAGGGCTCCTGTGACTGGTCGCCTCGGGCGGGGAAGGGGTGGGGAAACTTTCGGGCCATTCGCCTATCACTCGCGATGCGTGCCCGTATTTTCCGAGAGGCCACGGCCTCCCCCACGGGTCCCCGCCAGGCCCCGGACGACTGCTCGCAGTTGTGGTGTCCATCTTTCGCTCTTGGTCGTCCTGCCTCCTCTGGCGCCTCAGCCCTCCTTGGAGAACAGGTCGGGCGCGCGCCCCACCGCTCGCGTGGGGGGGAGGGGGCGGTGACGGGGCCAGGAGGATCGGGGCCAGGAGGGGGAGTGTCTTGGGGCCTTGGGCGGGGCCATCAGTGGGAGGGAGGGAATCGGCCGATTTTGATCCGCAGGTCGACTGGTGCGCGCCCAGAAGCAGCAGATTGTTCAGCCCTGGCTTGACGCGGCCAATGGCCAGCTCTGCGACACGGCGGCGCACCTCGCAGTCGAACGCCCGCGCCTGCGCCAACGAAACAGGGGCGAAACCTTCAGGCGGATCGCACTTGACCGCCCCCTACTGCCGATTTCGATGCGTAGGTCGACCCCTTCATCTCAGGAGTGCCCGCGTGTCCTGTGCTTCGCGTCCGGTGCCCTTTGTATTCCTGGGGCGACGTGGCCTTCGGAAAGGCCCTGCCGCTTTTTGTATGTTTTTTTCAATGGAGCCTGACTGCAGACTTGGGCCCCCCCACGTGGGGTCCGAGTGGATGGGGTCGGAGGACCGCACTGCATCGCCGATGTATGGGCGATGCGGCTCGACGTGGAACCCGACTTAGGAGGAGGAGGAGGAGGAGGAGGAGGAGGAGGAGGAGGAGGAGGAGGAGGAGGAGGAGGAGGAGGAAGAGGCGGAGGAGGAGGAGGTTCTCCACGCCGACGTCGCGGCGATACGGCGTTGTCCTCCGACCCCGTTTGCTCCGACGTCCTCTGGGAGGCCTCTTCATAGAGCGGCGGTGGGCACGCGAGAGGGGGGCGGGAGGGCGGCGGACTTCGAAGGGGGCGGGGGAGGGGCCCTGTGGGGAAGGGCCATGGCGCCAACATCGCAGAGCGGATTTCGTTCGGAAAACGATAGAGTGGGCCCGGAATGCCCTGGAGAATTTCGCTCCTGATTTCGGCGTGAAGTTCGTGCGGACTCTTTTTGGCCAGGAATGAAGGCCCAAAAGAATCCACGCGAAATTCTTTTCGCTTTTCGCTCGCCGTTTCGGGCTAAGATCCACGCAGAAATCCACGCAGAAATCCGCTGCAGCACGTCTGCAAGGCCGGTGCAATGAGAAGGGAGGGGTAGAGCGGCGGCGCGCATCGAGGGGTGGCGCGAGGGCGGCGGCCTTCGAAGAGTGCGGGTGGGGGGCTTCTATGGGAAGGCACGGGGGCTTCTCCGACACCCTCCCAGCTTCCAAGGAGCCTTCCAGGGAGGCCCTGGTCTCTTCCAAGAGCCGACCTCTGCCTTCCAAGAAGACCCCCCGCCCTTGCAGAAGGCTACCACCCTCGCGCCACCCCCGTGTGTGCGCTGCCAATATAATATCATGGGGAGGGAGGGGTAAAGGGGTGTTCGCAAGATCAGTGGAGGTCTCGAGAGGTCTCTAGAAATCCCTCGACCGTGGATGTCTCTGGAGGTCTCCAGGGCCCCTGGATGTCTTTGGAGGTCTCTGGCGACCTTCGAAGGAGGAGGAGGAGGAGGAGGACGAGGAGGAGGAGGAGGAGGAGGAGGAGGAGGAGGAGGAGGAGGAGGAGGGGGAGAAGAAGGAGGAGGAGGACCCAGGAAAAGCCCAGGACCAGGATCTCCAGGACCCGCTGCCGCCACGCCGCAGCTGACCACGCAGAGCAGCCCGCCAGAGGCCGCACGCGGCGACAGCGACGACGGCGACGGGGGCGGTGACGACGGC